TCATTCCCCGAGGCCAAGGTCCTATTTGACTTCCCAGAGGCCCTTTGCAATCAATGGGGGTGGGGGGGAACCCCAAGAGGACCAGGGAGCTAGGGATGGCGCAGGTGTGGGACGAGAAGGCACTCACCAATTCCTTCTGTAAGGTTTTTTTTAGTTCCAGCATCCTCTGCTGCATCTGCTTTATGGTCTGAGAAAACCCCCCCGAAAGGAATGTGTTAAATGCACATTTCACCATCTTTAAGGTGCACAGGAAAACAGAAGAGACAGACACCCTGAGTCCCCCAACACCTGTTAGCGATGTCCCTGCCTTGTCTCCCAGAGGCCATTCAGCAGTCACACCTGCGCCTGTGACCTGGGCCCAGGCCCGTTCTGCTGCCACTCGGCACCCACCTACTCTCCAGCCCCGGCACGGTGTCCGGGAGCCGAGCCCTGCGCCCTCAGGACGCCTCTGCGTGTTTAAGGAGCATCGCTGCTGCGCCTCCTGCCCTGCGCAACTTGGTTTACGAGCCACGAGCCCAAGGAGGGGCTTCAGGTCGAGACGGGTTTGTGTCGCCACATGAGCCTGAAACCCGCGCTAATGCCCGTGGCTCACTGTGAACAGTGAAGCGTCATGGTTTCCCTCACAACCACCTACACTGGGCCTCAGCTCTTTAGTGCACCTGATCAGTCTTATGAACCTAAACCCACCTGAGGACACGATCTAGGAAGAGCTGTTTCCCCAGAGGCACCATCTTTCAGCAGAGTAGCTAGTATTTCTCATTTACAGTTTTCACAGCCTTCTGCACCTTTCCTAATTAGAACTCTAAGTGGGACAGCCGGGCCCCAGGTCTCGGTGTAGCTGAACTCCTGCTTTTAAGCAAAGCTGTAATAAGCTGTGTCCCCGAGAGACTTCTCTGGTCTCCAGAGAGTTCCCAGTTGGTGGAGGGCTGCAAGTGTCTCCAGCTCCTGTCAAACCTGTTGGACCGCCTCCCACACAGTTTTATAAAGGGTGGGTGTGTTTCAATTGGCAGCCAGGTGGCTAGACATCGCCCCTAAAGTGATACTTGTTTTCTGGGCTTTGGCCTCATCTATTCATCCAACAAATGTCCCCGCCGTGCGCCAGACAACGGCCGAGGGGCTGGGAAACAGCAACAGAGCAAGCCGCTTCGTCTCCGCACCAGGAGCGGACATCGTAGTAAGCAGAGGCAGTCAGTCAGGAGGCACTAAGCGGCGTCCCCTGAGGGCTGGCAGGCGTTGCGGGAGCGGCCTCGCCGATGACAGGACACTCTCAAGGTAGAGAGGTAACGGGGAAGGCGTCCGCAGACAGCAGGCTCAGCAAGAGCAAAGGGCCCATGGTGGGAAGGTACCTGACGGTCACAGGAAGACCACAGCAGCACACCGAGGGTGTGCTGGGGTGTCGGGGTGAGGTGAAAGGCGACAGGCCAGCCACAGAGGCCGCTGTGGGCGGCTGCAAGGACTCGCGCTGACACTTTAGGGGCGATGTTTAGCCTCCTGGCCACCAAGGGAGCACAGATTGAAACCACACCAGCCCTTTTATAAAACTGAGTGTGGGAGGCGGTTTAACAGGTCAGCAGACGGGGGAACTGAGGAGTGAACAGGAAGGCGGTCAGAAGCCCAACATCCTCCTGCAGGGAAGAGAGAAGTGCGACCCGGCTCAGGGTCCAGCAGTGCCCGGATGAGCAGCAGCCGACTGGCCGTAGCTGGAGGGAGAGCCACAGGGAGTTAAGAGTGGCTGTGACAGAGACACAGGGGGAGGGTGACTCCCAGGTTTTCACGGAGGCAGAGATGGTAGAAGCTGGGGGAGGAGAGTCTGAATATGGCTGTGCGTGATTTGCGTTTCAGGGGCCCCTCAGACAGGCACGTGGAGACCACAGGTGTGTGAGCCAGGCTCATGGGACCTCTGGTACAGAGTCCAGAGGCCTGCCACCCAGCAGCGGCCCCAGCTGGACCCTGCACAGGGACTGAGGGGAGGAGCCTGGCCCGGTGGTGTGCACTTTTCTGTGCTTTATATTTCACAGAAAGAGTTCCAATGAGAGACAGGAACACTGTTCCCTTTTTAAAGTTCTACACACACTGTCACACACACTTACTCACTCACACAATCTGGGGATGGAGTTTCAGGCCGGAGCAGTCCCGTAACCTCCCAGGGTTCCGTAAAAACTGGAGCCAAAGAGCCCGTGGCCGGCGCAGAAATCGTACCACCAGTTCCACACTTTGCTCCCGCGCTCCCACCCCACTCAAAGGCGGGCCACGCAGGGTGAGCGAGGGGCTGGCAAGGCCGAGATGCCTGCTGCTCAAGCCCCAGTCCCTGGGGTCACCTCTCGTGGGGGGTCGGGAAAGCTGGGTGACCGAAAGGAAGACCACGCAGAAGTTCCCGGAAGAGGAAACCAGGAAGAATTTCTGATGAAAGAGGCACCCACCGTCTCTCCCCAGAGGGGCCCGAACTTGGCGCTGCGGGCGCAGGCGCCAAGCAGAGCAAGAGCCTGGGAGAGAGACGCCTCACCTTGTTCTTCTCCAGAAGTTGCTGCTCCAAATCCTGTTTTTCCTTCTGCAGCTGCTCCAGGTCCAAGGCGCCAATGTCACCGTTTGGGATGCCCTCTGGGGTGGGAAGCTGGCACCCCGGGTCCTGCAGGGAGGAAGAGGCAAGGTGAGGGCCAGGCCAGGCAAGGCTCAAGCTAAGCCCAGGCTCATTCCACACTGAGCTCCCAGGGGCGTGCTGGGGGGCTGCTTCAGGCGGAGCCCAAACTCACGCTGCAGAGACCCGGCCCGAGGCACCACGCCACACACCTGCGCTCCGAAGGCCGGGCTCTGACGCCCGCACACCGATGCGCTGCGCAGTCCCTGGCATTTCAAGCCACGACCTCCTGGTCAGTGAGAAGCCCCCTCAGGAAGCCAGAGGAGAGCAGTGTCCTGCCCCACACCCCACAGCCCACAGCATAGTGAGCTGGGTGCTCCCCAGTGGCCCCCCACACCTGTGCCCATCCCTGCAGCCCTGAGTCTCCCTCGGCACACGCTGCTGCCATGCCAGGGCCCCGTGGCTCAGCAGAACTCACGTGAGGCACCACCCCCTGCTCCCGACCCGGCAGCCTCAGCAGGGCCTCCGGGGCGCCCGCAGCCTCCGGCTCCTCCGCCTGCAGACTCCTCAGGGCCTCGAGCTCAGCCTGCAGCTGGTGCGTCTGCAGGAGGGCAGACTCATGACCTGGGTGGGCAGAGGACGGGGCGCTGTGAGCCCAGGAAGCAAGCAGCTCGGGGCGGGCTGCTGGGCAGGGACAGGGGAAAAGGACCAGACCCCTCACCTTTCTTCAGGTGGAGAATCTCCTGCTCTTTCTGGAGAATCGCTTCAGTCTTTTCCTGCAGATTCTGCTCCTTCTTATCGATTATAGCTGTCAAGTTAGCAGCCTTGAAGAGAAAAAGCAACATGACAGAGTTGGCAGCAGTAACCCCGTCTCCTTCAAAGGAGTCTCCATTTTCTACTACCCCCCATCCCCCGACGAGTCTCTCCTTGAAGCCCAGGGCCTAGAACACGGCCCAAGCTCTCCTTGGCTCCTATAAACACCTCTGATCAATGCACCTCTGCGGAGCTGGCGCGGGGCCTCGCTCTCACTGCCTCTCTGGCTGCAGGAGGCCCCGTAGAGGCCTGGAGATTCTGCTCGCCTTCCCCCAAGATGCCACAGCTGTAACTCCCACGTTTCAGCACCTACGAGCACCCAGCTCTAGGTGGGCGTGGGTCTGCGCCCTCCCTCCCTGCGCCATCCCGGAGGGCATGGCCACCCTCGTCTTTTCAGAGGGGCCTCAGCTTTGTTGAGTCTGTGTCAACTAGAAGCTTGGGCCGTCACTGGGGATGGCTTTTCCAACCCTTCCTGCCAAGAGCGCTGCTGGCGGTGGTCTTCGGGGCTGCAGTCACTAACCTCACAGAACTGGGGCCCCGGGTCTGCGGAGCTGGGCTGCATGACCCCTCCGGCCACTCCTCAGGGTCCCACGGGCCTACCTGCTGCTGGAACTCCTCCCTCTGCTTCCGCACCTCCTCCAGGGCCTGCGCCACTGCCACACTCACGATTTCTCTTTGGCTCCATTCTTCCTAGAACCCAGGGAACAGGGAGGAGACTGAGCCCCAAAACTCAGTCCACGTGTTTTTCAGCTCCACACCTGCCATGGAGCCCCCGGAGGGGACACTTCTAAGGTTCCCAGGCTGCCCTCTCGCTGTCACACCAGCAGGGCAGTTCTCTGCTGGACAGCCAACCGACCTCTCTGGCCAGTCAGTGCAGGGGCGCGCCAGCCAGTACCTGGGTCAGGCTCCGGGTGGGCGAGCACTTGGAGAGCCGGCCCGATGACGCCAACACAGCCCAAGCAGTGTCTGACGCCATGTGAGCGAAGCAGTGCACTGGCACAATGCAGCTGCCGAGAACAGCAGCAAGTGAGTACTGACAGGCGCGGGCTGAAGGCCCCGGGGAACACAGGAGCAAACCGAGGCTCTGAGACACTAAGTCACTTCCTGATGCCCAGAGGCAGCAGGCGGCATAGCCAGGTGGCATCTGCCTGAGCTCCGAGCCCAGCCGGGGAGACGACTCCACTGGCAACATACTCCCTGCCACAAGCAGGGCTGCCTCAGCAGCCTTCCCCAGAGCCGAGCCCGTCCCAGACAAGCACCCTGGTTCTCTGGCCCGAGACCGGCACCCTGTGCGCGCCGGCCCATAGACTTCCAGGTGACCGGGGTTGCCTGGACACTGGTCGTGGTGCTCAGGAGAGAACACATGTGGAGGTCTCCACCTAGCACACCCCGCTCTGGGGCGGCTCGGAGCCTCACTGCTGCTCTTCTCACTCCCACCCCACGTCTGGTTCTGGTGAGGCAGCTAATCATGTACCTGCACCATGGTGTGACAGGAATAAGCAGCAAGTGCAGGCTCGGCCAATCAGAAAGCCTCACCCCTGCGGGCAAGCTGACTTGTCCAAGAGGTACTCTGTCACCCAAGGTGAGCCAAAGGCACCTTTTAATGTCAGACCCCTCATCTGCACCGTGGAGCTGGGGGCCGCTGAGCTGGGCAGTGTGGAGCCACTGTGGGGGGCCCCGGACCTGCAGGGCGCAGAGACCAGCAATGCTGGGAGGGTGACAAGGCACAGGTGCGAGAGGCAGGAAGAGAAGACAGGGGCGCTGTCAGCCAGGTGGCCAGGGGCACGCTGGCATCTCTGGTGGCGCTGTCAGAACGACCTCCTGCAAGTCCTCCAGACGTCAAGGGAAATTGGTGCCTGAACTGAAAAGGCTGGCGGCGGGACCTTGGATTCTCCAGGTCACGCCTGTCACGGCAGGGGTGGGGCTCCAGTGGCTACAGGCTGGGTGGGCTGCATAACCCTCGAGGTGGGGCGTCGGGCTCAGGGAGGCTGCAGGAGCCAGCAGGCTGCCCACCTGCGGCAGCTCTCTGCACCTGAACATGCTTTGGGGGGTGGAGAGAGAGAAGAGGGAGCAGGGCGTATGTGTGTCTGTGCAGGCAACAGCTGTTTGATGCCCAGATTGACAGAACTACAGGGAGAAGAGACAAATCCATGATGACAGTTGAAGACTTAGCACAACCCTTCCGGTAACTGATGGAATAGGCAGACCAGAAAATAAAGCCCAGAAACACACAGAAGATCTGAACAACACAAGATCTGATCAGCCGACTTGGTCTAATTAGCACTCACAGAATGCGCTCACTAGCAGCAGGAACGATACACTCTTTTCAAGTGCACTGAAATATTTACCAGGATAGACTAAAGGCTGGGTCATAAAACAAATCTAAATAACTATCAAAGGACGGAATCTGTCAGAGTATTACCTAACCTTAGTGAGATTAAACTAGAAATCCAAGGTATTGGGAAAACTCCCCAAAGGTCTGGAAATGGACCACGCTTCGAACAAACCTGTGCGTGCAAGGTCAGGTTCTAGCCGCCCAGCCACGCCCACGCTGGCCCACGCTGTGGCCAGAGCCGGGACCAGATGGCCTCGTACTCATCTCTGCCGACGGGGGGCGTGAGGGTGACGGGAGGCAGGAGAAAGACACCCCTTCCAGCTGGTTTCCATTTCTGCCACCACGGGGCAGTAAGGATGCTTCTCCCTGGCAGCAGTTTCTTCCAGCAGGAACAACTGCATCCTCTCTGCAGTCTTCGTCTGGTCTGCAGCTGGACTCGCTCACTGCCCGGGTCCCAACACACACTTGCTCAGGAGGTTTGGGTGTCAAATCCAGGCGCGCTTCCTGTTCACCCCTGACGTTAGTAATTTCAACTTCTTCATATTGCTCCCTGAGCCCACAGGTTGGCCGTTGATTCCTAGGCTTCCTTTGTGATGCCTCACTGTCTCAGGATCTGGCATGTCTTTTATCAATTCTGTATTTATTCTGCTCTTACTTCTAGTTCACAAATTCCCTCGTTAGTTCTAATCTGCTGTTAAACTCATTCATTATTTTTAAATAGCTTTACTGAAGTAAAATGAGCAATAAACTGCAGATAGTTAAGGTGTGAAATATGATTCATGGTTTAAATCATCACAATAAAAAGTGGAAATATCCATCACCTCAGAAGATTTCCTCCAGCTCATTTGTAATCTAGCACATGCTCAGTTTCAGTTATCTTTTCCAGTAGTAAAATTCTATTTAATTCCTTTTCAAAATAGCTCTTTTTTATACTTTCCAAATCTTCCATTTTGTCTTTTATCCCTTTAAACAAAGGCTAAATAAAACAGTAAGACACCTAAGTCCCTGTGAGTCTGTTTTTTTCTGTTTATGCTGTTGAGATGCTATTTGCCCAATTATCCTTGATCTTGAATTCAAAATGTATGTGCAGAAATATTTACAGGTCTTGGATGACACATTTCTCCAGGGACATCTGCTTGCTTTTTAATTCAACCAGGAGCACAGATCAGGACCACCTTAATTCAACAGCAGCTAACAAGATGTACTGGGTGGGCCCCTATGTCTTTGATGTTCTGTCCAAGTTGGGGGGGGGCGGCGGCACACTGGCTCCCCCCCTGAAGTGCAGTCCTCTGAAGTTCCCAAGCACAGCTCAAAGGATGTCCCAGGCTGGACCCAAGTTAAGCTTGAGACTCCACCTGCATTCCGCCAGCTGAGAAGCTGCAATGAGCTTGGATGACTTTCTGGTTTTGTCTCCAGGACACCTTGAGGCAAACCTGCTCCAAAGACTGGCTTGCTGCCTTGTAGTCTCTCCTGTGCCTTCAGGCCCCCGACACTGGCCAGCTTCCCAGACAGCCCACAGGGCCACAGGTCTGAATGGCCTCCTCTGCCTTTGCCAGCGTGGAAGGAGCTCGTCTCTCTGCTGGTCAGCCTCACCCCACCCTTCCACAGCAGTCACACCTGTCGAGGTGTCAGTGACCTCAGTCTCGGCACATCTGGCGAGTCCCGTCCCCTTTGGGGCCCTCAGAGTTTCTGGGGCTCGCAGGACTCCATACCTGCCTGGTTTTCCTGTTCTCCCACCTGTTCTTGCATTTTCAGTCTCTTTGTTGACCCCCCCCCCCGCCACCCCCGCTCTGAACCTCTCAATGCTGGCCCTCAGCACTGGCTCTTTCCCATCTACACTCATTCCACAGCCCATTGGCCATAAATTCGACCTGCCCTGTCTGCAGGTATCTTTGGTTGTCACAAGTGGGGCTGCTACTGACACCTAGTGGATACAGACTAAGATGCTCCCCAGCAGCCCATAGGGCACGTGTCAGTCCCAACAGAGAATGACCACCCAAATAGCAACAGTGCAGAGGCGAGAAACCCGAGTCCACTGCCCACGCCAGGAGCCCCCTCCTGTCTCTCCTCGCGCTCCCTCCCTCTAACCAGGGCAGGTCCCACGGCGCCTTCTCTACAGCGCATCTTGGGCTGAGTGCTCCTTCCTGCATTACAGCTAACGCGCTGTCTGCTCTGCTGAAAGGCCGCCAGCTGGTCTTCTTGCTTCTGGCCTTGCCACCTTTTCAGAACTTCCTCCACAGGAGGCTTTTCCCCTTCTCATCCCAGCTCCCAAATAATCTCTTTAAAATAAAACTTTTCAAGTCACTTTCTGCTTAAAATCAGTGACTTCCTTCGTCACTCTCATCCACATTCCTCCCAGCCCAAGGGTGAGCCACACAGGCCTCTGTGCTGTTCTCTCAGCACGCCAAGCTTTCGTTTGCCTTAGTTGCCTTTACACTTGTTAGTTCTTCTGTCTGGAACAGAATATTCCTAAACATTAAATATTCTTATTCAGATTTTTTGCATGAACATCACTGAAGTTGTGCCTAACCTCCATGTTAAAGCGTCCTCTCCTTCCTACTCTCTGCCACCTCTTTTATTTTTTCCATAGTATTTATGACTATTACTTGTTAGTACCTCCAGCTACAAGCTGCACAAGGAAGAATGTGTTTAGATCACAGCCACATCCGGGCGCCTACATGGTACAACAGCATTTAACAGGTCCTTGAATGTGTGTTCATTGAAGGCCAGCACGGAAAGTTCCAGACTCTGAAGAAGATGCTCCCCAGGCATAGCTCTGTGGCACCCCCAGACGTAATGCAGCAGAGATAGCCAATTGGCAGACATCTTTCCTCACCCTTGAGTTAGGCCAGGGAATGACTGCGCAGTTGTCAGAAGGAAAACAAATTTCCTCATTTCTGCACACCGCCCCATGTAGAAACGAGCAAGCAAGGTCTGGCCTTGCATGACTGGCCTCCCTGGGAACATTAGCACTGGCGGTGCTGACAGAGACCACTGGGCAGCTGCTGACGACAGAGGAAGGCTGGGCCTTTGCCGGGGAGAGAGAGGGCAGAGCGGCCCCCCTCACAGAGGGACCTGCATTTGGACCTCAACGGCAGCTCCGAACGAACACCAGTCTTTCCACCACCCTGGGTGGCTAAAGGACTCTGTGAGGTGACAATTTTCTATTCTAATCACATAACTTCCATTTGGCTGCTCCAAACACATGCGGGAAAGATATGGACACTTTGTGAAACTAATTCTAGTAGCTAAATACCTTTAGCTTCTTTAGCTCAAGTTGGTGGTGTTGTAAGGAACGTTCGCATTCACTCTTACTTTCTCGAAGGGCGGCATTTTCTTGCTCCAGCTCTCTCTACAAGTTGAAAAGAAGATAAAGGCCTTTACCATGTCTGCCCAGGTCACAGTCCTACCGCTCTGACACGGCACACTGAAAAGGTCATCTCCCCTGGCCCCTGATGGCAGGGATGGTAATGAGCATGGGGCGAGGGTCATAACCGGAAAGCCACTTGACAAACTATCACAAGAAATAAGACCCTGAGTCTGAAGACTGTGGCCAGGGAGAGGGAAGCCTGGATAGGAACTACGTAATGAATCTCTAGAAGGCCGTGGGAAGAAGCTGAAAGGCTGCTCAGAAGGATCCCGACATCCCTGTGTAGCCCAGTGAAAAGGAAACCCCTTTGTTTGGGTTTTGGTAAAAAGCAGCCAATTAACATCCAGTCTCCTGAGCAGTGATCTGGTCAGAAAAGACAAAACTGTTCCAGAAGTTGGACCCCTTCTTCAGAGCAGGGCTGGTGTTTCCTTCCTCTCACCTTCCCCTGCTCCACGGCAGACAGCTCGGCCGCCCGCTCCCTCTCCAGGGCCTCGAGCTGGGCCTCCAGCTCCCGCGTGCGCTGGGAGCACTGCTGCTCCAGAGCCCGCGCCTGCTGCTGGGCAAGGCTGCGCTCCTGGCTGGCGGCCACCTGGGGCGGGGAGAGGGACACCAGAGGACAGTTATTCCTGGCGACAAAGGTACTCAGAGGGGCCTGATTTTACTCCTTGGTGACGCAAAGATGGGCGTCCAAGAGAAACGCATCCTTCCTGACCACTCTGCCTGGGTGCTGCCTGGCTCCCACCTGCCTATGGCCTTGGCCCTGGCCTGTAGTGAGTCTGGTTTGGTCGTGCTGCTGGGGGCAGCTGTCTACTCAGGGCTGCTCTACGAGACTAAGGCTTTTTCTGAGAGGCGGGGTGAAACAGCGGTGAAGACCAGGCCTCTGACCTAAGAAGAATGTGGTGCTACCAGCTGGGGGACCACGGCTAGACTTCCTGGGCCTTTTCCCTTTAGAGGATGAGGGTACCATCATGCAGTAACAGATGCTGCCTGTGTCTCCCCGGTTTCTAACTCAATACCTCAATACCTTGACTGCTGGCCAAGACCTTGTGTCTCCTGTCCAGAGAGAGGCTGGACCTATTTTCCACAGCCTTGGCTGCAAGCTGTGGCCTGACTTCCGGGGAGCCAGCACCTTGGCGGCCTCAGAGAAAGGCTGGGCCCTCTGGCAGTGGCCGGGGTGACATCAGCCAGCCACTACCTGACAGGTGACTCAAGCCCGCAAGCAGGTCCAGACTCGTCCTGCTGACATGCAGCACAACAGTGTCTAAAGCAGGCCCAAGTGCCATTCCTGATGCAAGTTTGGAATCTACAAGGCACAGGAGGAGAGAGCACCAGGGGCCGGAACGCAGCTGCCTCTGGAATCACTCACGAGCTCCTGAATCTGTGTCTCTTGAGCTGCTGTGACATCACTGCTCTGCCTCAGCTTATCCTCAGATGCCTGCAGGCTCTGCTCAAGTTCCTTCACCTGAGGGGGAACATAAGACTTCCTTTCAGTCAAAAGAAGCTGAAAATAATACATAGCTTTAAATCTGCTTAAATCACGAGACAGGTACATTATGGAAAAATTTTAAATTAGAACAAGACACTCATAAATCTACCACTATAAAATGCTATCATTCTAATGTATTTTTTTCAAATAATGGAATGTTTAATGTATTTTGGCTATTTTTTTTATAGATTTATTTGTGCATACAGAACTGGGGTACAGGCCAGAGGTGGTGAGAGGCTTCACCAGAGACAGAGTGGGGAACAGAGCAGGCAGATTGATGAAGTACACTGCTGAGGGGAGCAGCGGGCGGGTCAGGAGAGGTCTGCCACACCATGTGGTCACCTCCGGGGCAGGCGGGAATTGAACTCATGCTGAAGCGGCTTTTAGATTCTCAGTACGGTGCTTTAACCCGCTGTGCCACCAGGGAGGGCCATATTTTGGCTATTTTTTAAACAACTCTGGTAGAACTTGTGCTTTTCCTCTTCATTCAAGTTTCCCTCTGTGTTTTCAGAGTGTTTTGGACCTAAGGTTATTATCACTGTTAAAATAAAGCATCCATTTGCCACGGGACTCGAGAACGGCATACTTTGGGCCGGCCGCGCACACTCACGCGCACGGGCGCTGCTCACCTTCCACCAGGGCCGGGGCCGCTGCCCGCCGCCTCTCCTCCCTCTCCTCAGAGTCGAAGAACTGACTGTTACTGTGTTTTGTCAATTTGTTTTCTCTGGTTACACACAGTCCACAAATGAGTGAAACATCTGACAACTGTCTTTCACCTTCTGGCTAATCTCCCTTATAGTGACCCCAGATCCACCCATATTGTCCTAAAAGCACTGAATGCCCATTGATAAACGATTGGGTAAAGAAATTCTAGTAGAGGGCCCTCTGGTGGCGCAGTGGGTTAAAGTGTAGCACTAAGAAGCTCTCCGAAGCCACTGCAGCAAGAGTTCCATTCCCCGCCAAGGAGCTGCCCACATGGCGCGGCAGACCCCTCCTGTCTCCCTGCTGCTCCCCTCAGCAGTGTATTCTGTCCATCTGCCTGTTCTGCTCCCCGCTCTGTCTCTGGTGAAGTCTCCTCCCACCCCCTGCCCTTCACCTCTGGCCTGTACCCCAGTTCTTGTATGCAAGAATAAATAAATCTTTTATTTTTTTTTAAAGAAATGAATAAAGCTGTGGAGCTTTATTTGGATAGATTTATCAGAAATCTATATTTAGCAGGGAAAAAATGTAAGTAAAGGGTATGAATGGGCATTTCCAAAAGTAGAAATCCAAAACACTAACAGCTGAGTCAAGAGATGGTCACTCATTAGTAACCATAGCAATGCAGATTAACACAATCAAGTAGCACTTTACACTCACTGAACTGGCAAGAAAATGAAAAGGTTGGGAAATGCCAGTGCTGGAAAAGGCAGAGATGAAGACATGGGAAGCCTCGAGTGTGGGGGGTCCAGGCCAGCCACAGCCCTTCTGGGCCCCCCCCCCGCCCTCCTTTGTCACAGTAGGCCATGTACACCCCGGGCCCACCCTACGGAGACCGGGCAAGACAGTATTGGCAGTGCTGTGGCGTGTGATGGCAGGAGGAGGGCAGCAGAGCGGGCACAGGTAGGAGGCAGAGGAAAGGACCAGAGAAGGCAGCGGCAGTGACAGCATCTACGTGAACGAACACGCGCACACCAAGGCCGTCCATTTCCAGGTGCCCTGACAATAAAGCCATCTCTAGGAGCCACACTGCAACGGTCTCCTATAGGAGGAAGGCGGGGTACAGGAGAGCGAGCAGAAGAGGGGCTCTGGGCAGCACTGGTGTCAGGTGGCAAAGACGAAGAGGAATGACCAACTCGGCCCTCTGAGTTAAGAAAGATCCCCAAAAATAGCCCCTTCAAAAGAAGACCACTGCTCCCAGAGGGTCACCCTGTGACACCCACCCACCCACCACTGGGAAGGGGGCAGTACCCGAGTCTCCAGGAGGCCTATGGTCTTGGCCTGGCTGTTTCTGGCTGCTAAGAGCTGCTGTCTGGTATCCTCCAGATTTTGCTCTGCCACTGCTTTCTGTAAGGTGAAAGAGAGAAAACAGCAACTTTTCTACTGGATAAACACAGGCAAGTGGGACACCCATACATTTTTAACAAAGAACAGAGATAAAATTTGCCCATCAAAATCCACACAAATAAATGTGCCACAGTCCACTGGGGTGAGGCCGGGGGTAAAGTCAAACAAGAAGATAGAACCGTGCAAGAGGGGCCCACAATGAAGACGCACAGAGCTGTGGCAAGTGGAAGCTTCCTAATTGGGGTGGGGAGGGCTGCAGCATGGGCAGAAGGAGGCCCAGTTGGACATTTAGGAATTGCAACTTGTCAAAAGCTACAGTGGCGGTGGGCTCGGGGCAAGAAGCAGGCCAGGACAATTTTTATGCTGCAGAAAGGAGCTCGAACTCAACTCCAAGATAGCAGGTATCTGAGTGGGGCCATCTAGGTCATCAGGTGTACTCGGGGGCTGGGGGTGGCTGTGACAGGTGAGGTCTTATCTAAAGTCCACCTAAATCAGATTCCTAGGGGTAAGGCCAGAGAGACACATGCTCTGAACAAACGCCTCAAGAAAGTCCTATGCAGGTCAAACATCAGAATATGGTGGTAGAAAATAACTGACTATAACAGCTAAAATAAACTGAGACTAACTCTAAGCCTCACTCTAAGCTTTCATGTCTCAGAATTCATTTAATCCTCCCAATTCTGTGTCTTGGGTATAATCAGCAATGTGACTTTACAAACAACAAATTAGATTGCTGGCTCTCAATCTCAAACTAGCAGGTAGAAGAGGTGACACACCAGCCCAGGCAGTCTGATTCCAGCAATCAATGTACACCCGAGAAACCACGATCCTCACGGAGACTGTGGGGAGCTGGGGAAGATGAGATGTGGGCAGAAATGCTGTGGAGGCACACCGGCTTGTCAATGAGCATGGAGACCGTGTCAGAGGATGAAGGTGGGTAGGCAGCCTGGACAGAGGAGCCAGAGGGGCCAGTTACCCGGAGGTAGAAGAGTGGTGAGGGAGATGGAAATGCTCAGCTGAAGCTGAGTGAAACAGAGTGATGGGCTCATCTGAGCCCATGGCGCTGGCTTCGTCACAGCGAGGCCGATCACTGGGGTGCAGACAGGGAACACCAAAACGTGCGCAGAGCAAGCTCAGACCTGACGAGAAAACAAGTTCACCTGCCCCACCGGCCCGGCCTGCTGGAGTTGCCCTCCGCTCAGGAGTCTGCTTGCTGCCCCAGGCAGTTCCTGCTCTCACTCCAGGGGCTGGGACCCTGCCTTTGGCCAGTGGGAAAGGCACAGGGGCGGTGAGCACAGTAGGGCAGTGAGACGCGTTGCCCAGTGGAATAATCACTAGGTGGGTTCACCTGCAACGTCCCCTTTCAAAAGTTTCCCCTTTCCCCAAGGAAAACATGTCATGCTTAGGTGACACGACTCTGTTTTGGCAGGACAGAAGGAGTAAAGGTAACAGGAACTGGACACCGGGAGAGCCCTCTGAAACTCCGGGGTAAAATGAGGCTGCGGAGCTCCGCGGGCCCCACGCAGCCGGCCCAAGAGAGCAGCTACCTCTCTCAGCAGCTCCTGCACATGCTCTTCCCCTGAGAAGTTCTGCTCCAGCCGCTTCTCCAAGGACATAACCTTCTCTTGCAAATGTGTGATGAGTTTTTCTTTCTCTTGAGTTTCAGCAGTAACCTGCAGGTGAAAACAAATTACTCTGCTTAATAAACCTCCTTTCTCTCCCTTCCTGCACTTGTTGGGCCAGTGTGTTTCCTGGAAATTCCACTGTCAAGCATATTCTAAAAGGATGAACCACCAGGAAATCTCTCTCCAGTCTAAGCAACTGACAATCTGGGAAGGTCAAAGCTGGCACTAAAGAACCCAGCAGCCTTCAGAGGCGCCTCCTCTTCAAAATAACCGAACTGTATCATCACAACCTGCCAGCCAAAGGAACATCCCTCTTCCCATTTTCATCAAGCACATTTAATCCTTTTAACCCAGAGTCCCATTCTTTATTCAAAACGCCAAAAACCAGCAGAGGGAACCCCCACATCTTTATTCAAAACGCCAAAAACCAGCAGAGGGAACCCCCTCAAGCAGCTCCCAGACAGCCCGGCAGTGACCTACAGCCCTCTCCTGCGCAGTGAGGCTGGGTGAAGCAGGAATGCCAACACGGCTGGCTGCCTCATGCTGGAGAGACCTTGTGAAACAAATGGTCTTCACCCTGGCACCCAGTGGAGCTGCCAGCACCGCGGGCCTGGGCCAGGCCAGCGGCTACCGCGTTTCTTCCGTCTAGCTCTTCAGGCTGCCGGTGCGAGGCAGTGGCGTTTCACATGGACTCAGGTGCTGCTCAGCGTCAAAGCAGAGCATCGAAGGAGTTTTGAACATACGAGTCCTTAAATCCCTGGCGGCTCCTGCCTCCACTGAGGGTGCCTCTTCTTCTCTGAGGAAAGGCTGCGTGGCTCCGGCAGCCCACGGGCAGACGTGCACTTCCTCACATGCACTCCAGTCCCTTCACCTGCCACTTCCAAGCCTCCATCTCAAGACACACTTCAGGGTTAGCCTGCAACCCCATCAAACTCTCCTCAGAATAAGATGCGGCAGTTTGTACCTAGGGACTGGGTACAGGTAATTGCCACTCGGAATTCTCAGACGTGACAACATAGGTAATGGAAGGACGTTTGCATAATGGACTCAGATCCCTTAGTTGCCCAGATTGTGAGCCAGCCCACACTCTGCTCTTTCTGGGGAGCACTCAGGCAGCTAGTTGCTGATCACAGAGTATGCAGACTGGCAGTTAATGAGAGAACAACAGGCCTCCCTGGTGCAAGGCTGTCACCAGTCACTGAGGCCACTGCAGAATAGGGATCTCAGCCAGGGAGCTGACCCACAGGGCACAGCAGACCTCTCCTGTCTCCCTGCTGCTCCCCTCAGCAGTGTATTTCAGTCGATCTGCCTGTTCTCCCCACTGTCTCTGGTGAATCCTCTCACTGCCCCTGCACCTCTGGCCTGTACCCCAGTTCTTAGAGGCATAAATAAATAAATCTTTTTTATTTATTTATGCATACAGAGCTGGGGTACAGGCCAGAGGGGCTCAGGGGCAGTGAGAGACTTCACCAGAGACAGAGTGGGGAGCAGAACAGGCAGATCGACGAAGTACACTGCTGAGGGGAGCAGCGGGCGGGTCACGAGAGGTCTGCCACGCCACGTGGTCACCTCCGGGACAGGCGGGGATCGAACTCATGCAGAAGTGGCTTTCGATTCTTAGTGCTGTGCTTTAACCCGCTGCGTCACCACGGAGGGCCTAAATAAATAAATCTTAAAAAGAGAGAGAGAAGTGTATTTTCAAAAGGAAAATAATGAGGGCCCTTTCTAGCAGCGCAACTGGCTAGGACGCAGCACTGCAAGCTGGCCGCAGCCGCTTCAGTGCAAATTTGATCCCTGCCCCGGAGGTGACCACATGGCGCCGGCAGATCTCTCCTGGCCTGCCCGCTGCTTCCTTCGGCAGTGCACTTCAGCGATCTGCCTTTCCTGCTCCCCACTCTGTCTCTGGTGAATCCTCTCACTGCCCCTGTAACCTCTAGCCTGCACCTCAGTTCTGTATGCATAAATAAATAAATCTTAAAAAAAAAAAAGAAAAATAATGAATTCAACTTTACTAAAATTAATAGCACAAGACCTTAAAGAGTGAAAACAGCCCCAAAACCGGAGAAGTCATGTGTGACTCGTAGTAACTAACAACCTAGCCTGGCAGGGAGGACATGGGGATTAGTGGAAGATGACCGCAAGTGCCATAGCAAAGTGACCAAGATTTGAACCAGCACTTCACAGGAGTGCACAGATGACTGACAAGCCTATGAAGAGACATTTAATTCCATTTATCATCTGGGAAAAGAAATTGGAGATATGGTGAAATAATATTTCACGTATATCAAACTATCAAAGAAGCCAAACTCAATCTGATAGTCTGCTGGGAGGAGTGTAAAATGTTTCATGAAAACAGCAACTGGCTTTATCTAGCAAACGTGAAGAAGCACAAATCTTTTGATTCAAGCTTCTCACATCTCAAACACACCCTGGAGTAACTCCAGCACAAGTAGATGAAAGTTTCCAGCGGCCGCATTGGTGACTGGGAAAGGCCAGGAATGTCCTCATAGCCCCTGTCAGTGACTTGAGTAGACTTTGGTGCATTCATACCATACAGCTGAGACAGGAATAAAATACAGAATTTCTTCAGGAATACAATGCTGAGCACAAAAAGCCAATTTTAGGATACTCAGAGCGCGATTTCACTTACATATGTTAACAAGCATGAGAAACAAAATACTATTTAGGGACAAGCTATGGTAAAGTGATAAAGTAAGAAAATGGGAACGTTTCCGGCAGGTGTGTACTTATGAAGGAAAAAGGAGGGGATGGAGCAGTAACGGGTATGCCAGGAACGTCACAAGACATACTTGTTCTTTTTTTTTTTTTTTTTAAGTTCACTTATGCATACAGAACTGGGGTACAGGCCAGTGTACAAGGGGCGGAGAGCGGATTCACCAGAGATAAGAGTGCAGAGCAGAACAGGCAGATTAACTGAAACACACTGCTGAGGAGAGCAGCGGGGAGACAGGAGAGGTCTGCTGCGCCCTGTGGGTCACTCCCTGGCAAGGGATCAAACTCATGCTGAGGCGACTGCAGCTGGCTTCATAGTACTATGCTTTAATCCTCTGAACCACCAGGGAGGGCCCCAACCAGCTCTTTCTTATTCTGAAGAGTGGCTACATAAGGGTCCATAGCCTTGTTACATTCTCTCCCTTTTTTTTTTTTTTTATATACACTAGTGAGGACAAAAAAAGCAACTCTAAATTCACAATTATCCTAAACCTGCCCTCGTCCATACCATACCCGTATGGCATGAATGCACCACAGTGCTCTCTCAGCTCTGTGTCTGTAACCAGCCATGCAGTGGTCAAGGCAGAAACCCAGCATCACCCCAGAATCCCCTTTTCTCCCGTTCCCCTGCTATACCTAGCACAGCAGTAAGTAGGCCAGTCTCCTCAACACGCCTGCTACACCCACATCTTTACTAGCACTCCTGTCGAAGTCACATGCTAGGACCTGGTTACCCAGAACTGAGTAACTGGAAGCCCAAGCCAGGGTGCCTGCAGCAGTCACTAGAGGAAAGCCAGACTCGCTTGCTGTGTGCCGCCTCCAGCCTTCTAGTTCTTGAGTGTGCTGACTCTTTCATTGCCTTGGGGTTTTGGAGTTCACTGTTCACACTGTTCCCTTGGAATTCTCTCCCATCACCACCCCCCTGCAGCCTGGGCAGAGCATCTCAGCTGAAGTGTTCCTTTCTCCAGGGTGTGCTCTCTGATTTCAAGGCGAGAATCTGATCTAGGATCTCCCAGCATCCTCTAGTTTTCCTTCACAGCACTTATCCTCGTTTGTAATTATGTATTTATGTGATTATTGATTCATGTCTGATTCCCCCTCTAGGTTCTGAAGTCTTTCAAAGTCAAGAGCAATATCCTTTCCACTCCTCCTAGTATTTTTTTTTTTTTTTAAAGATTTATTTATTTATTCATACAGAACTGGGGTACAGGCCAGAGATGCGGAGGGTGAGAGGATTCACCAGAGACAGAGTGGGGAGCAGAACAGGCAGATCGACGAAGTACACTGCTGAGGGGAGCAGCGGGCGGGTCAGGAGAGGTCTGCCACACCATGTGGTCACCTCCGGGGCAGGCGGGAATCGAACTCATGCGGAAGCGGCTTTAGATTCTCAGTGCTGTGCTTTAACCCGCTGCGCCACCAGGGAGGGCCCTCCTAGTATTTCTAACACCCAGCACAGAACACTCTGTCTCCTGTTGCTCTGTTCATCCTTGAAATTCCAGTTCCTCCAGGATGAATTCCTTGGCTCCTGGGTTGGAAATGCATTTTCCCAAAGGCATAATTTTTGAATTTGTCACTTACTTGGGATTTGTTGAGTTGTGAATTATTTTCTTTTGGTTATAGGTTTGACCTCTAAAAGGAAACTGTGAGTCCCCAAGAGAAAAGAACATAAGTGTCTACATTTCCAGACCACTGAGGACAGGGTCGTGTGTCGGTCAGACACCCGCTCCACTTATGTAAGGCCTACTTAGGAAGAGCTGGCAAGTCCGGACTTCCGGGATGTTGCTGGCGTTCAGAATCCAGGGCCTACCTGGTGGCCTACGGACTAAGTCTCAGCACTACCACCTTGAAAGCCCACTCAATGGCTTGAGTTCGATCCCCGGCCAGGGAGCTGACCCACATGGCGTGGCGGACCTCTCCTGTCTCCCTGGCTGCTCCCCTCAGCAGTGGATTTCAGTGAATCTGCCTGTTCTCCCCATTCTGCCTCTGGTGGATCCTCTCACCCTCCCCATGTCTGGCCTGCACCCTAATACTAATATGCAAAAATAAGTAAATAAAATCTTAAAAAAGAAAAAAAACCCAAAAAACAAAACCCAGGGCAAGGAAAGCTAAATGCACAGAGCACGAAGGGCAGTGACCCAGTAACCACTTTTGTGCTCCGATGGTGACAGTAACATACTACCGAGAGCACTGTTCTACATCAGTATGTTCTCATTCATCTTTATAGTCTCAGAATTAAGCACAGGCCTAGAGTAATAGGGTAATACATTTATGTCAGTCAAATGAACAAATGAATTGTAATGACATCATTTATGAGCATCGGGAAAAACTGGCTTGGAGCCACGAAGGTCAGAAGCACAGCCCTGGCGTGGCGGCCGCCACGGTCGTCAGTGTCTCTAAGGCTTGGCGCCGGCAGGTGGGCGCCTGGAGGAGGAGGAATGGCATGTGCTTCGAGAACTCCTGTCGGGGCACGCTGACTTCTGTGCAGCAACCACTCTCTATGGACTGATGTGGCTGCCCCGTAGCCGGGCAGGCCATGAACAAGCGCCACGAGAACAACGTGAGAAACGGGTTTCATTCAGAGCTGCCGATACTCGGGTTCCCAACAGAATTAGTTTCGACCGCTTCATGGTCCCTAGGAGCCCTCCCAGCCCTTTCCTTACCTTTTGCAAATCAGCAGAAAGCTGCTGGGTCAATGCTTGCAGCTCTTGTTCCCTTTGCTCCAGGGCTGTGATCTTATTTTCTGCACCTGTTTTTGAAGCTGTCACATGATCTCTTTATGGAAAGGAAGCAAACAATGAGCACATTTGGCTATCTCATCTAAGACACACTCTTCTGCAGGAAAAATACAGATGGTTCTTATTACGTCAGGGCTGCAGACAACAGCCATGTGGACAGCATCAGTGCAGAAGACCATTGGCTCTCTCTGCAGCAGAAGGCCCACAAGAAATAACTGCACCCAGGCAGAAGCAAGAACTCCTGCCCTGCCTTGGTGACTCACTAGCTTAGAAACTGAAATATACTGAGTTGCGGGGCAGTTGCTGGGCTGCAGGGATTCCAAGCAGCTGACAGAGGGGGACGGTCTGGGGTGGGGGTTCTTAGCCTTCAACAGACAAGGAAAAGTCCAGAAGTTTTGCAGGAACAGATCAGAAAAGGGCTACAGTGAGCAGTGGGGAAGGGCACGCAGGCATTAGCCAGAGCTACACTAACACCACTTCCCCCGGGCCCCACAGACCAAGCAAGAACCTCTGCTCTTCCAGCGTTGAGCAGTGTCTCTGCAACTCCTCCAGCTTCTGGCGTAAGTCCAGAGACATCTGACTGGAGGCCATCAACTCCTGCTGGGTGCGACTGAGCTCTCTGGTTCTGTCCTCCAACTCTTGCTCCATTTTCCCCAGACTTTCTTCTTTTTTTAAAAGCTGATACATAAAGACATAAAGTTGCAATGGACAGCTCTACTGAGAAATGCACTTGAAAAAATTTGAACTGATAACCCAAAGTTTAATAACATTTTTGAGTGCCTAGATGCCCAGTTGTTTAAATAAAAAGAGAAGGAAACAGATTTCAAGCAGACCTTCTCCATTTCAATAAACTGAAAAATATACAAGTATGATGAATCTCAAAGACTGCATGGGCATATCTGTCAGCATTTGAGTGGTGGTGAGCAAAATCGGAGCAATTAATCATCAGCATTAACTGCGAAACACCAATGCGCACCATGTGCTTTACTTTACTCAGTTCCTGCTGCTGGAACCCCTCGAGTTCATCCATTTCGTCTCTCCTTTGGAAAAGATTCAGACTTTGGGTCTTCATTTCCTGTAACTGAGCTGTCAGGAACCTTTTCTCCTATGTGGAAGAAGACATAAATAAGGCAGTGGCGACGTTAGAAATCCGTATTTTCAGCAGAATTCTTAATAAAAGAAAAACTTTATTTTTAAAAGATTTATTATTTATGCACATAAGAACTGGGGTGTCGGCCAGAAGTATGGGGGAGGGGTGAGAAGACTCACCAGAGACAGAGTGGGGAGTAGAACAGGGGATCTATTGAAATAAACTGCTGAGGGGAAGGGCAGAGGAGACAGGAGAGGTCTGCTGCGCCATCTCCCAACTCAGCTCCCTGGCCATCGATTGAACTTGAACTTGTGCTTGAACTTGTGCTGCAGTGGCTGCTACAAGCTTGAGAGTGTGAGACTTTAACCCCTGCACCACCAGAAAGAACCAAAGAAGTCTTAAATTAACAAAATCTCTTGTCAGTAGATAACAGTACACTGATGGGAGCTCTCTGGCAATTATTTACAAAGTTACCTATAGATTCTCTAAGTTAAAATACATGTTTCTGGGCCCTCCCCGGTGGTGCAGTGGGTTAAAACACAGCACTAAGAAGCTAAAGCCACTTCCTCATGAGTTCAATCCCGCCTGCCCGGGAGGCAACCACATGGCGTGGCAGACCTCTCCTGACCAGTCCGCAGCTCCCCTCAGCAGTGTACTTCGTCAGTCTGCCTGTTCTGCTCCCCACTCTGTCTCTGGTGAAGCCTCTCACCCTCCACATCTCTGGCCTGTACCCCAGTTCCATATGAATAAATGAATAAATCTTAAACACACACACACACACGTTTCCCAAGTGTTAGTTGTGAAGAGGGAGCACTGTCAATGATGAGCGCTTTAAAGCTCCTGAACTTGGACGGCTACTCCAGGTGCCCTTTACATGGCTGTTCTCTCTGACACACTGATCGGGCTTAATAACAAGCATAACTGGAGTAAGAACGAATGCCTGCGGAAAAAACTGACGTATTAAGAACTGATTTCAGTTATCAATCCCAGTGAGCAAGCCAGTACAAATTAGATCTGAATTGTGGCAGCAGGTTACAATTTTCTAAATGACAGTTTCCCAAGATACATTTCCTTAGCACAAACCCTGCTGTTGCAGCCTCCGGTGCCTGGCTGAAAAGAAATTAAAACAGTCCAAAAATAGCATTTCCAAAAATCACCGTGGCTCATGGACCCACATAGACTGTCTCACTACTTTTTCCTTGTCTAAAGCATTTCCCAGCCCTTCCTTGGGGGGGAGGGGTGGGAGAGAGCAAGGTCCCCTAATGAACTGAAGTAGGCTTTATTTAGTTTAGTTATATATGGATCGCCCTTTGCCATAGCTTTAAAAGATAAAAAAAAAGTCCAATGAGAATTTCAAGCACTGCAATCTTAGAGATTTAAGACAAGAAAACTTTAATCTATTTAACCCAGCCTCCGTATTAAAGAAGACTGTTGTTAACACCATGTATTCAGAGGGATTTTTTTTTTTTAATTTAGAACACAAGTTTCTTTGGGAGATAGCATGATTTTTCTGTAGTTCTTTCATTACATAGATATTCAAGTATTCTGATAGCTTAATAATCCATTTTCTTCAGGATGTACTAAGAAAATCACTGGTTTAACTTGAATTTTTACATCAAGAAAGGAGCAATAATAAAACTCCATTTAATAAAGCTAACAGTAAATATATTTTGCAACTGAACATCAATCTAAGAAATAATCTATGATGGAGAGTAAGTTAGGAGTAGTCAAGTGAAAATAAGGAATAGGTAGCAGCATAATTCCAGCTGAGGGAGGTGACTCTAGTGACTATTTTAAATTATAATGCTTTTCTTTCTTTAAATTACAGGCTTGAAATTTCACCTTCCTGTTCACGTCTGGGAGCCAGGAATGCTTTACACAGGCAGTGGTGCTAGCAAAGCCACGCCTCGGCAGCGGTGTCCGTCAAGAGGTTCTCCTCTCGTCTGCTCCATGCAGTGTTTAAGAAAGGCCCCCTGTCCACTGCCTCTCCGGGAAGGACGCCTACTGCTATCCCAGAGTCAGGCAGGGCCCACAGGCTACAGACGGCAGACTCAAACTAAGCACTTTGTGGAGAGCTTGATAAAAGGACTTTTCAAAGTGGCAGGTCAGGTACAGAACCCAAAAAGAGGCAATGTGCTAGTAACAAGGAGCTGGAAGGGGTAGGAGAAAGAGGCTACCAGAAACCCAGAAACTATGTGGGTTTCACTAGAAAGGCTCAACTACAGGTCCAGCGGGAGCTGTGACCTACAGCCAGGTGGACCTGAAGGGGTCCCACCTGGAGGAGGCTGGGGAATAAACAGAAACCCAATTAGCAGCCGGAGCCCTGCTGATGCGGTCCCCATCCAGAGAAAGGCGAGGAGGTGACGGGTACACAGGGAGGGGCAAACAAAACTCACAGGGCACACGCCCTGGCACACGCTGGGGCACGGGCTGGTCTCGATGTCATCACCCAGTGCCCTGTTGCCAAGGAGCAGTACAGCAAGCGGGACACTGGGAGCTGGACAAAGTCCCAGAGAAGAGGCTGAAATAAATAATGAGACAAAGGTAAAGATGAACTAACCTTTTCAAGTTGGTCCATCTTCTCTGACCATTCCTAAAACAAAGCAGCAAAAAAGTAGTTTTCAGGAAAGAGTATCAGTAGTAACAAATTTTTCAGAAAACAAAACCACTTTACTCCCTCTGCCTTCTCTACCTTGAGCCCTGGCCACCCCCAAGCCCCTGCAAGGGCATCAACAAACAAAACAGAAAATTAAAAATTCCATGCAGTGGGCATATCTAAAAAGACAAGCATCCCACAAGAAGAAACTCAAATTCTAGAGCGCAAACGTACGCTGCTGACTTATTCTGAGTAGACCACCCGGACAAAGCTGCTACTTTCAGCTTTTCAGTTTATCCTGCGTGTTTCCCCACAGGCATGACTACTGTTTCTTGGGAGCGGGTAGCTGAGACAAGTTGAGTTGGCAACTCTGCAACTGATATTTAGAGATTTAATTCACCAAAAGTGAGGGCAGGCTCTCGAGCAGCACTGCTACTATTTTCCTTCTCAGCCTTATTTACCCACATGCTCTGTGCCAGCCAGCTTCAGTGAAAGGAAAAGGCAGATTATGCACCCTTTCCACAAATCACAGAAAAAACAAAACAAAACTTGGTATAAAAGATCACAGCCAATTGCCTACAATCAGAATCCACCAATTTTCTTCATTTATATACACTCACCATAAGCAAACACTCACACATAAACACTAAGTATTAGTCATTAACAACATTTTTTTCTGGCTAGTAAGTGTCCTAAATGACTCATGTACTTTAAAGTAACCAACCAGTATTCCCTACCTACGGCTGATGAAATAAATTATACATTTTCTTAAGTGAAACATAATATAATAAATTGATCCTGTCTTAATAAGTCAGGATTATCATTGCTTAAAATACCACTTAACAAAGTACACCTCATAACTGCTGTGACAGCTAGAACAGAATTATTCCCTTGCTTACTGCCCTTCATTCAGCATCTTCCAAAGGATGATTCTGTTGAGGTTACAGGAGTTCCCTCTGTCTAGCAGGCTTGAATTAAACAAATTTGAGAACACTGACTACAATGTCTGTATACAGCCTGGATGCTGACTTGTCTGATGACATCTTTCCCATTGTAAAAGGCAAGTCTAGGCTGTGAGGCAGGTTTTATAGGGCAGAGACTTCTTCCTAAGCTTAGGGCTCTCCTCCAGATTACAGACAAACTACTTCCCTTCTCCATTTTACAAAGCTACCCAGGTACAGAAGATGTGGTACTCTCACACTCTGGATACATTATACCTTCATGATTATAACTGTAAAGTTTCTTGTTCTTTTACTCCTATTTTTTACCAGGAGTGTAAATTGTTGAAATTATGTCCCTCAGTGATCTTTCTGTGAGTCTTAGGCAGCACGTATAAAATACCTGGTCCTTTCTGGCTAATGCCAAAGCCAGTCCTTCTGCCATTTTGGCTCTGTTGGCTTGGAATGTCTCATTCTGCTCTTGAAATTTCCGCATGGAAGCTGTTAACAAAGAGGCTCTATTTGAGATATGGAAATATTTCAGAAATAGCATGACAAATAGCCCATGTCATTACTTTATAAATATCACCTAATAAAAAGGCGAAGGTCACCCCAGTGGATTATGAGGCTGGGACAAACCTGATTGACTTTCCCTGAAAAATCTTTTGGTCTTTGTAACAGACCAGGTTTTTTTTGTTTCCTGTTGTGTTTATTTTATGTTTAGAGGATGCCAAAAGGTCACTTTTAAGTGGGACAATGATAAAACACTGAAAGTTGCCAGAACACACCGATGCTGCTGCTAAGTAACAGCTACTTTTACTTTAGGAGAACTAAAAATAGAAACAGGGAAGCAGAAAAGACCCCTTTGACTTTTTTACAAATTATATGAACAGGAAATAACTTTCTACTGTTAGCAGCTGTCCTGGACTGAACCCAAAGGAGATCATGATTTACAGCAGACTAGACAGGGTTATCTTCTAACGTTGGAGGAGGGATCAAAGCGGTCCCCGGTTACTAAACGGCAGCAGTGAAGCTCCAGCTAGCTCCCAGATCTCTGAATCCAGGCGCAAGGGCCAGACGCTAGTCTTTGCTCGAATCTCGGGGTAGCCAAGGAACTGGTCAGCCGAATGGAGACAAGCTGGTACACGTAATGACATCCTCCCAGAAAGCACGCACATGAGGCACATAAACACGAGTTGTGTGCTTAGCCATATTGGACAGGCATCATAGTGACCCGATTAAAAATACACTACTTGTAAAATAATTATCTGCACTATGACAAGGGGCAAATTTAATCACACACTATCATTTCATTAAAAGAAAATAAATCCTAAAAAGATTGAAAAAAACAGGAAAAAAAATACGTACAATCCTGGTGTTTTTCTAACGCAATTTCAAGCTTCTCTTTTATCTTCTGCAAGTTTCGGACCTGCTCAGCATAGTCTTGGGTGAGGAGGGTGACGCACATACCAGGAATGGACAAACATCAGGAAAGGAAGTTAATTAAACAAAAAAATGAGTGAAAATGATGATGATTTTCTCAACCTGAAAACCATTCCTGTTAAGGAGCGCTAGGCAGACAGCCTCCTGCTAACAGTGAACAAGACAAGCAAACAGGGATAAGTACACACTATCCATGGTGTAAATGATGGAGACAAACAGGCAGATTTGTTCAGCCTTGAGAAAGAATGAGGACAGGGCCTGGCGTGGCCCTCAGAAAGGCCCTGCTGGGAAAATCAGCATTTTTTCATGACTTTTTTCAAAGCAGCTTTACTCTCTCTTTCAGTCTTAGCAAGAGGACAGAGCAAAGGGGAGCCACTAACCAGCTCGTTAAGCGTCCACACAACTGAGTCACAGTGGTCAGGACAACAGCAAACATCCTGGCACAGCAGAATTCTTATGGTGACAGGACTCAATGCTTCAGAAGAGTCCTTTCTGCACAGGCACTGAGCTGCCTATGTCCTAATAAGGCGAAGCAGAATACCTCGCTGGCCAAAGAAGGTAGCATGGTTCAACAGGAAAATAGACAGGCCTTAAGGTTCAAGTCCCAACTCTGTCAGTCCTTAGCTGGAGACCGTAAGCAAAAATTATTGATCCTACGCATTAGCTTTGCCTATCTCAAAGGATTCATTTGATAATAAATGAAGCATTCTATATGTCTTAAGCATCCAGCACACATACTAAATAAAAGGTAGCTGCTATTGTTGTTCTTGTTATACATACCGAGCCTGCAGGATAATATTCAGCGCATAAATGAGCTCAATAAATGTCAGTTCTGTTCCTCGTCCCTTCTCTAACTTAAGTCAAGTCCAAATATTTTCCTCTTGTATTAGGGAAAGTACCCACCATTTTGTACTTTTATCCCCAACATTAAACATAAAGCTACTTCACCTCTGGTTTTGATATTACTTACAGGCAGGTGCAGGACAGTAACACCAGCACCTGGCAAATCTAGGTTTGGATCCCAGCATAGCCACCTACTAGCTGTGGGAGCTGACCTCCTTAAACCGAGTGAACACAAAATGAGATAATGGGCTGATTGGTAGCTAGGAGCTGTTGATACCTATAGAAATGTTTCATGTAAAATTTGGTGATTACTGTTCTTCACTGCTTTCACTCCAAGAAAATGGGCATAAAACCAAGAAACAAAAGAAACACAGAAGCCACTGACCACTTCACGGGATGAAGCTTTCAAACTGCATCCATGGGGTCAAAATAAGGACTCACACCTTTATCACAAAAATGCCCTGTCCAGGCAAGGGACCTATGAGGGGCTGTGTAAACTGTAAACCATACCAAAAAGATGTAACAAGAGTTACAGTTTCTGAGCAGGAGTTGAAGTTTGAAATACTGCTGAAAAGCAGTCCGAAGGCCCAGAATGACACACAGGTGTATTCAGCTACACCAAGTGGCAAAACCTTCTCCCTTACCCTCAGCTCCAGAAGAATCCCATGCCTCTTGCCCATTCCTAGAGAACAATGTCCCCCCGCCCCTCTCCACCTGAATGTAAGCTATGCTAACAGGTGAGACAGTCAAATCTAGTCCACACATGCTTTCTGTACCTTTTCTATCCATGGCTAGAAACCTCAGGAGCAGAAAACGGAAGTTGCTTTTTTTTTAACTTTAAAAGTGAGTTTTGAATTTATACCACTCAGCACACTAAAATAGAAAAGGAGGATACAAATTGCTCCTTTTCAACTAAAAAGATAAAAAAATATCAAAATAATTACAAAGCTATGCTATACGGTTATTTTATAGGGAGAGTAGGTCAGGCAAGGCAGGTCTTTTGTTTACTTTTGAGTTTTCAGACATACCAGAAAGTCTGGCCTCTAATTTCCGTATCTGCTCATTCCGTCTCAAAAGCTGGGATGAGAGATCTTCTCTGGAGCTGCTTCCATCAGAAGCCTGTTTAGAGACATAACAGACACAAGAAGATACCATATTGGCGCAGGGCTCTCAGCAGGGTGAGACGCAGAATGGACCACAAAGTGACAACTCATTTTAGTTTTGCTACACGGGAATGAACTGTGATCACCAAAGGCTGCTGAACTAGGCAGCCTGTGGAAAGCAGAAGCAACACGCCCGCAGCAACAGGCCTGGTCAGAGTGCAGGCGGCCTGAGGCCAGACAGGCGAGTGTGCGACCGCCTGCGGATGGAGCAGATGGGCGTGAGCAAACCCATTACGACCAGATTGTACCACGTCCACAGTTCCGACACTTTCTGTCTTCAGTGGTGAAAAGGAAATCACTTTATTTTTCCAAAAGGTAAAGTCCTGGAATATGGGGGATGGGGTGTGTGTGGGGGATGGTACCAAAGGCTGGTCTGTGATGAAGAATTTCTCACTGACATTTAAAAGTTTTTAGTGTCTTCACCTATAAAACAAATGGATGTTAATCCAATGCTCTAAAGTGCACCAAAGACTTCAGCCGACAGAATGCTTTTAATAAGCCAGTGTGTTAACGAGACCCCAGTCTCCCCAACAGCCGAGGACATCTGTGACCACAGGGGACCGCCCCTGTTGTGGGTGCTGCGTGCCATCGCTGCTAACTCACCATTTCTTTGAAATTTTTTTAAATAGAGAAGAGTCAGGAGACTGGTTTAATGAATGCTCTCCAGCTACTTAACAACCTGGCTACTTTCCCATCGTCATCATTTTTGTTTTACCAAAGTACTTTCAATAAGACATCATGACATTTCATCCTAAACACTTTGACCTGCGTCTTCTAAAACTTAAGGAAATTGTCCTTTATAGCCACAACACATTAGTACACTTAACAAAATGAAAAAATATTATCTGATTCTAATCTTTATTCATGTTTCCCCATCTTATTTCCCAAATGTCTTCAAAGGTGGTTGAACAATTCACCGAAATACTCATTAGGCAACCCAGCCACGTGCCCCTCCACACAGGCCGAGACTCTCCGCGTAGTTAAGAGGGCGTTTCTGCAGGTGGAAGGCCAGGGTGAAAGCCCCACCTCACTACCTGTAAGCCACAAGGCCTTGGAGCGACTGGTTCCCACATGTGGAAACAATGGCAACCAATGAGCTGTGATGAGGGCTGAGTATCAATACTTGTCACATCCCTAACATAGAGCCTGGCACATGATCAGCTCTACTGCAAGCCGTCTGTTATAAGGAGGCAAAGCATTCACTGTGTGCCCTCCTGTGCTCGACACCGTGCTAAGCCCTGGGGAGAGCAGGAAACAGCCCACTAAGACAGCAACAGCAGCTGCAGCAGCAACTACTCATTATGAAAGGCTGTGATGAGCCACGCCTACGCAAGGCCTATACGTACACACTGCAGAAAGCAGTCACATGAACACACAGCTGAGAATGTCTCCTTGGCAAGGCCTGCTTGTAAAGTAGCCTTTGGCAGCATCAGGGAACTTACACTGTGTAAGAGTTCACCTGACAGGAAGGGCTGTGCATGGAAACTGTACCAAAGATATGGCCTATGCTGCACACACCTGTTTTCCTTCTGGGTGTCTGGCACTGTGGTAAATGCTAGGCAGGCAGAGTGGAGCTGTCTGGTGTCTAATAAAATCTCTGGCCACTGAGTCTCCAGTGAGCTTCTTTCATGCACCTTACTTTACCTGTGTCATCACTCTCGTAAGTGGGAGAATGAAACAAGTCCTGTACTACACGAGGAGGGCTCTGGAAAGTCTGCGCCCGTTTCCTCCAGGCTCTGCCCCATGCATCGGTTCCCTTAAACTTGAAGGATGGATAAAGGATAAGTAGGTGGAGTCCTGTGTGTCTTCCCGGTGAGTTAGAGAACCTCGGGGTGAACTTGGAGGACGTCCGCCACCACACAATTCAATAAAGTCAGGTGCGGTTCTCACTCCCATTTTATAAGTGTGAAAACGAAGACACAGAAAAGCAAAACACCTGCCCCAAATCACACAATGGCCATGGGCAGGGAACCAGATTCAGGTGGGACTCTGTAACCCGCCCTGGGCTGCCGACTGCTACACTGTCACCGCCCCTGAAGCGCCCCGTGCAGTGTGAAGGACAAAGAAGCAAATCATGAACAACGCAGTATAAGAGGTGCTTTCACGGGTGGGTGGGGGGAAGGAGGAGACAAGGGTGACATCCCGTGAGGAGGGATGCAGGGCAGAAGGGTGAGGGGGCAGCAGGGCCACGGGGCTGGGGAGTGATGTGAGACCAGTCTAGAAGGCTGGACAGGGATGTCAGGGAAATGCAGGCGCGAAAGGAGGGGAGAGGAGCCAGTCCAAGAACGGACACAGCATATGTGAACAACTGTAGGCAGGAAGGAAAGCTGTCTATTTCAGGAAGTCCTATCAAGCTCAGTATGGCGAGAGCACAGGGCATAGGAAACAGTGTGATGAGACGGGGAGGTAAGCTGTGACCAGAGGCCAAGAGTTCACCATCTTGCCATAGTTAATGAGTTTGCACTTCACCCTGAAGATGGGAAGCACTGAGTGTTAAGCATTGAAGAGACAGGAACAGATCTGCTCTGGGGGTTATTAGAGGCAGGGAGTGAAGGTAAGTAATCACCCTTATCCAAGAGATAAAGACAGACTGAAATAAAATGGAAGTGAGCACACCACTTAGTGAATGGAACAGAGAAGGTGAATTAAAGATATTGGAGAGATAAAAGTCTACTTCCTGGCTGACTGGCCCCCAGGAAGAGAAAGAAAGGAAGTCTAAATGCCTCCAAGGTTTCTTATTACTGACCTGTGGGATGAAGCGGCAACGTTTGGAAATAGAGTTAATAAGTTCAGCTTTGTTCACTTGACAATATGAGATACTACAGTAAAGGCGCTGTTTGGAAAACGTGTGTCCTGGGATATGCGACTTGCAGATGGGGAGTGAGGTCAGGAACTGGTGTCTACACAGAGTCCAAATAGGTTACTTTCAAAGCCTGAAAGGAAAGTGTTGCCTGAATTCATGCCAACATCTAGATCTAGAGAAGAAATTTCCTTCGGCGGGTCCACATGAAGGGAAAGCTGGGACTCTGCTAATGAACAGCCCGGTCAAAAGTGCGTTTATATTGCCCTTTACAGACGGCAGCCAACGATAAGTTGGATCTGGCGATCTTATTATTCCACCCAATAACCTGACAGCTTCTGCGATGTAATCTGACCCAGGACAGGCAGCAGAGGAAAGGAGGAGGAAGACTCATCTGACCATGGAAATAATTCATATGTCTGTAGCCAGGGAAGGCAGGGATAAACTGTGGCCTTTTCAAATACTGGAATCTTACTCAGCAGTCAAAATAAATGGCCAACAACACACAAATCTAGAAACATACTGAGTCAAAAGCAAAGATCAAGAAGACAACAGTATAACATTTGCGTAAAATTTAAAAAATAAGCAACATTAAACAACAAACTATGAATGTGTATGTGTGTGTGTTTGGGTAGGCTATTTTAAAAAGCCAGGGAATAACAAACACAAAACTTAAGATAGTGACTATCTGGAAGGAAGGGAGAGTGACGGCGATTGCAAAGAAGCATACAAATAGTTTCAACAACAGTGATGATGTTCACTGGGAAGGTGACAAATTCACAACCACTCATCTTATACTTTACCTCTAATTCCACACATTTTAAATCACATATCAAGCTTTATAAATCATTAAAAAAAACTTTGACTTTGAAAGGATCCTGTCATATGCCGAAGACACTTTTTTAGTCCTAAGACATGACAGTCCCCTGACATAGCAGCATCCTCACTTTTTGGAACCTTTCCAGCCTAAAGGTACTTTACAAATAAGGGACATACAGTAGTCATCAATGACATCTTCTCATCCTCTTTTCCATAAAACAGGGCACTCTGGCTAACTCCACATGCAACTCACACACCTTGTTAACAACAGTGACTAAAAGTCTGTATGTCTGTAGCGACCACAGGTAAAGGTGTTTTGAGAAATGAAATGTGGAGGAAAATGCACAAAGTGTACAGATGGGAAAAGAGTACAGGAGGATGGTCAGGAGACTCTACAAGGGGATTCACAGAAAAATAAGAACAAGTAGAAAAGTAACCTTAAAGTGAGAAGAATCAGATATAAGCTACAAATAAGGGCATTTCAAAAGCAAATATTAATTAGGTAGATTTCCTCAAGTACCACTTAAGGAACAGACTGAGATGGTACTAAAATATTAAAAACTAGAGAAGATACTTACAAAGTCGTCTCCTGAGTCAGCTCCCATGGAGGCAACAGACTCCTTGCTCACCGACCTTGGGATCCGAGGGGCGCCTCCCGGCCTCTGGGAGACAGCAGTCTCTTCTGCAATTTTCTTCTTTAGTTTTGCAAACATTTTGGCTACGTGGTTATGCTGCACTGATGACCTGCTCCTGAATGACCACAGCAGGCCTTAGGCTGGCAACCAGGAATCCAGAGACAGGAGATTAAAAAGTTCCAGACATTCAAGCTAGCTGCATTCCTACTTAAATGTGGGCCAAGGACTTATGGCAATGCAGGATCTAGAAATCAGATGAAAGAGAGCTAACGATTAAACACTGGAGGGATTTCACTTCAGAGTTGCCATGTTAAGCTTCAGGTTTCCAAACTGTTTCATAAATTTACTGGTACACTCAATAGAACACAACTACTGAACACTTAAAAGGCACTCAGGTGCTCCATATACACAAATAAGGAAATTCAGTCGCAAGGAGATGATGTAACCTGCCAAAGATTATGTGGCTAAGTGGCAGGGCTGGTATCTGAACCTGGACTCTGACCTTTTTTCACTCTTTTTTCACGTCATCTAGTCGGCTATGGCATATCAGCACATTTAGCAAAATATCCCAGTGCAAAAGCACTATCACACACACTTTTGAGTTCACATTAACTACAGTTTAGCTTTTTTTTGGTAAGAGGAAGACAAATAGATGTATCTCAATATGGGGAAAAGGTATACAATTCTGACACTCCAACATGCAATCAGCTGTGCACTAGAAAAAGTTGACAGCCTCGGAAAAAGCAGGTAAGCCAGACAACTGTATTGTAAACAGGATCAGATATCCTTAAACTGTTCTTGGAAAAACAGTACGGCCATCTTATACAAGGGTGACTGAAACAAACTCAAATCAGTTTTTTTTCTTCAGAATGTTTTACAAGATCTTCAACATGAGACTCAAACAACTTCTCCTCCCAAAGTTATACGGAACCCCAATATTCTTATTCCAGCTTTAACTTTTCATATGCTGTGGAGGATACCTAGGATCTGCCTAAGATCGACACACCACCTCTTAGCACTTCAGATCATTTAAGTATACACTGTTCTCCAAAAACTTTACCTTTCAAGGTCTGTAAACCACCAACTCACCTGGCTTAATCTACTAGATTTAAAACAGCTTGACGGTCAAAGCATTCTGTCCTGCGTGAAGACAAAGATAAAACGCATTGGATACTTCCTTTCACAGTGTAAGGCCAAAACTTTGGGGGACAGGAGTGGGGATTTGGGAGAGGAGGGGGGATGGTTAAGGGAAAAGGAGCACACTTGTCACAGCTACAATCCTCAGGGGACTGTCTTCCCTGCCTCGGTCTCCTTTGCTGTTATGATTTGCCTAAGTTTCACAACCTCTCCTTGCAGAAGCTGCCTAAATCTGCCAGGGGAGCCCTGGGCAAAAAGAAACTTGAATGGGAGTAAGGCTTCCCAGGGTAAGTAATTTCTTTCTCAGTTGCTTTTGACAGTCACATATTGTTTACCTGGCCAGACCGGGCGTCTGGTCCCAGGACCTTGAATCACTGAGCAAAAGGATGAGTAAGGTGGGTAAAAACCAGCTGCCTAAAGCCCTGGGAGCAGACAGGTACCTGCCACCGCACTTTGGATCCCACTCACGCAGGCTCCTTCCAGATCCACCCGTGCTTGGACAGTCAAAGAAGGGAGGACCCCAACGTCTCTCCCATTTGACAATGGGGAAACAGAGACCCAGAGAGCAGGAGTGACTTGTCCAAGGTCGCGCAGGTAGGAGTACCCAGTACCCTAAGCTCCAGACTCTCAGGCCTGGCAGCCCGCCTCCGCCCCCACCATTGCCCTTTCTGCACCCCGGTACCGCCCCCCGCCTTGGTCTTGGGCCACCCGGTCCGGGCCGCCTTGGGGGTAGATCCAGGCCACCGGAAGGATGAGGGGCCTGCTCGCACCGCCGGCGCCCCCGCCCGCGCACCTGCCGC